ACTTGAAAGTGGGGGGTGAGAATCAAACTCGTGATCTCATGGTTACTGAAACTGAAACTCTAATACCATATAAAGAATTAATTAAACCCAAAATCTTAAGGTGTTAACATTTTTAATGATTTATATTATTCTCTCACACTCTAACCATAACACCTAAAACTAATAAGAACGAACACATCCAAATTCTGAGTTCATTTTCAGCACTAAAAAATAACCAAATAATCTATTCCAAATAACTTTAAATATTTTATCTAAAAAAATTTGAGAATTCTAAAATAACCAAATAACTATGGGGTTTATAACATAACACAACTTTACTTTTCTACATACACATTAAAAGATGGGGTCCACATATTTTTCATTCTCTCTCATCATTCTACTTTCTATCTCCCTTTTATTGTGGGTGTTGGAAACAATACTTAAATCATGTAACATAACAGGAAATGGATCCTCTAATGTGGCAAAAAACATGACATAGTCATAACCATACAAGGGTAAATCAACGGTTATGATTTTGTAACTACCTATTTTAATATATTTTCTCTCTCCTCCGTTATTACCATTGATCTACCTTTGTATGGTTATGATATTTCACATTGGAGGATCCAGATCCAAAATAATTTAGCTAAAAAATGTTGAGAAGTACCAACTCATTGTAGCTCAGTTGGTACCGGAAAACTAAGCAGATGAGGTGAGAGTATGTATTCGATCCTTCTCAATATCATTTTTAGAAGGGGTTAAAACTTTAATTACAAGATCCGTTCCAAATCAAACTAGCAGCGATGAATTAATTAGAATATCTAAAAAAAATAAAAATTAGAAGTATTCAAGGCAAGATGGAGGACTCATAGGTTAATGTATGATATGAATGAACCAAATCTTTGGAAAAATCGATCCGGGTGTTTGTGTGGTGACTAGGGGTTTGGGTAGTGATTTTCGTCGTATACACGAAAGGGATATGGTGATGACTGATGAGGGTAAACGAGAGTGCAATAAGAAAATGGAAAGAGATCCTTACCTTAGGGCAATAATAAATGTATATAGGAAGTTGTGAAAGGTTCTAAAATAGACGCTATGTGGAAAACGTGTTAAATTGTTAATCGTGGGGGGAATCACATTACAACAGGGAAAGGCATATAGAGAAATTAAAGTTGAAAGATATATATTATGTGATGCGGATAATTTGTCCTATAAAATGTGGGGAATGGGCCGAGCAAATGGCCCAATCTACCATTCTGAAATTAAAAACCTTATCCATTTTACATTAAAATAATTTATAGGGTGTTAATGAATTGAATTGTGAAATCTCAAATTTCAATCTCATATCGATAGTTTACGAAACCAAATTTTTAAACCTGATTATTGTCAATTAAAGATTAATACTTAATAAGTTCAAAATTTAAATGAATAATATAAATTTAATCACATGAAATTTTAATTTATAAAATTATAAAAATAAAAATTATATATATATATATATATATATATATATATAAATATATATTTCATTTTTTCATCAATCAATGTAAATAAATTATCTATAATGCATCGAAAATGATGTCATTTTGGAGGTAAAATCAAGGTATTTAACACAAAAGGAAATAATTTTTGGAGTGAATGTAAATAACTTATCTAAATTTATTATAGAAACATTAAAGGCAAAAAAAATAAAATATTACTATTTTAACGAATAATTACGAATATATAGTTGTTTCGAAACTATTTACATATCTATTGCACACATTTACGCCTAAATTAGGCGTGATCATTCACGCCTAAATTAGGCGTGACCATTCACGCCTGAGTTAGGCGTAACTCACAAGGCCTTCACACCTAATTTAGGCGTGACTCGTCTGATCTTTATACGTGGCACAAAAAAATCAACTTGTGAACTGTAAACTTTGAAAAGCCATAACTTTTGACTTAGGTATCCAAATCAAGTAATTTTTTTTATTCCACAAATTTTTTTGAGATCTACACAATGACACATCATTTGACATATTTTATCTCTGACAAACACAGTTAAAATTTACAATAATGTATTATAAGAGCATTTAAACCCAGAAGCCTCCGTGAGTTTATGATTCAATATAAACAATAAATAAAGACCTCATTTGTGATTTAAATTAAAAAAAATCACAAGAGAAGGGTGCAGCTCTCATCATCCAGCCTCTAACTTGGTCTTGCGCATAAGGAATATGCTGGATTGGAATTGGAGGGTTAGAATTTCCCATATTCATAGGGAAGGGAATGGGGTTGCCGATTGGATGGCCTCTTTTGCCTACTCCTTTGATTGGTCTTTACAAGAGTTTGACTCGCCTCCTTCTGGTTGTCGTGACAAACTTGAAAGGGACTATGTAGGAGTAGTTTGGTCTAGGAGGTGTTCCTAGTTTCTTTTTTTGTTTTTATGTTTCCTGTTTGCTTTTCAAAAAATTAAAAAAAAATCAAAATTTTTAAGTTTTCATATAAAAAATAAATAAAGATTTGATTTGTGATTTAAATTAAAAAATCTAAAAAATTATTATTAATAAGGAAAACAAAATAAAGATTTGATTGGTGATTTAAACTTAAAAATAAATTTGAAAAATTTGTATTAATAAAGAAAATAATTAAATAAATATTCTAAATCTATAAAGAGGAATGATTTTATTTTTGAAAACCATTCAGAAGCAATATAAGCTTCCAATGAATCTGGCCATAAAGACCCGGTCATTATTTCGTATTAAAGACATTTCCAAAGTTCAGAGTTCAGGATTTGATTTGAAGTTTAGTTTTCTTTTCTTATATCCATTAGTCCTTTTTTTATTTTAAACGTATTTATTTTTTCTTTCTCTTAGGCATACATAATTTAAATGGCTTTAAAGAAAAAAAAGTCATAAAACATAAGGATATAACTTATGATACAGTTCAATAAAAGTCATAAAAAATTTATATATTTTTAAATTATTTTTTATCATATTTTTGTATCTTATGATTCACGATAAGAGAAATCGGTCAAACGATACACGATACGTATTACAATTTAATAACCTTATACACTATTTTTTTTTTCAAACACTTGGTAGAAAGTATATATTCTAATATGATATTAAGTATCCTTATTTATATATGCACTAATCCATTGCCATATTTAATTTCAGACCACGATTTAAATGATAAAGTTTTTATTCACAGTGATAAGAATACAACCCATAGGATAGGGATAGAGAAGTTCTAGTAGGCAGAAGACTGTGTTTGGTGTTGATTCGGAAAGAACTCGGAGGCTTCTGGTTTAAACGCTCGTATGGTACCATTGTTGCAAATTTGAAATGTGTTTGTAAGAGATAAAATGTGTCAAATGAGATGTCCTTGAGTATATATTAAAAAGTTACGTGGAAACAAAAAAATACATGATTCGGGTACCCGAGTCAAAAGTTATGACCTTCTGAAGTTTTACAATTAAACTGTTAATTTTTTGTGCCACGTGTCAACACCATACTAGTCTCGCCTAACTTAGGGGTGAATTGTCACGCCCAATTTGGACGTGAATAAGTGTAGTATATTCGCAATTAACTTCAAAACAGCAACTTATTCGTAATTTTTTATTAAAATGTAATATTTTAATTTTTTTTTGCCAACATTAAATCTATATATATATATATATATATATATATAGGATTAATATTTTTATCTCATTGCATTCGCTCGTAAGAATGAGACCCTTTTTTTTCTTCTTTATTCTCGACCTCACGAGGTGCATGAGATAAAGATGGGAGTAAATTCTCTCAATACAAAGTTGAATCAATGAAATCATCACTCTTTTTTTTTTTAAATCATCACTCTTAAAACCTCTTTAGCACACCCTTTCCCTCTCACACAAGAGTTGAAAGATGAAAAATGTATAAGTGAATGTATCTATATTGAGTCTAAATCGACATCATTTTGAGACGAAAATCAAAGTATTTTTGTAATTATAATTTATTTCGAAGTTATAATAGTCCTTTTCATTATAATTTTTTAATTTTTCAACCCAAATTAACGTTTTTTTATAAGCGAATATAGATAATTTATCAACTTTCACTATTTGAAATATTAAAGCCATACATAAATTAACCTACTCGTTCTAAGAAAATGAAAAATCAAACCCATAACACAGTAAGTTGATATATAACAAAAATGAATTTACTCCAAAATTTAAAAATTCACTTCATTATATCCTTCTTTCAAAGCAACTCAAAATCACATCATTTTAAAATTTAGGAAAAAAATATAAAATATTTTAATAATTTAAATTTCCTTTTGTATTAAATATTTTAATAAAATACCTTAAATCTTTTTTTTTCTCAACCCCAACATTTTGTGACAAATATTAATCCATGTTTTAAAGAACACAATTTTATATCATTTTAAATAAAATAGATATATTTTACATAATTTTATTAGCCTTTCACATTCTTTCGTGCAAAGATGCTGATCATAAACGCGCATATAACAATTAACAAATACCAAATAAGCTTAAAATAAGTTATTTTAACTAAGGAAGTCTTTTTATAGCACATTTTAGCCCAAAAAGAATTTTTGCTGGCCTCGAGTAGCCGATCCAAATCCAACCCATCTTGAGTCAACTCACTCAATTTGTCCCGGGTTGATCGTCAATGCCTGCTGCTGCTTTTAAAAGGAGATTATGTAGGTATTCCTGGGCATACCAATACTGCACCGGAGACCCACTTAATGCTAATTATGCATATAGATTTAGGGATAAGATAGTGTGCTACCAGCGTTACTATCACATTTTAACTCTTAATTTATTAATTTCCGTCAATGAACGCGAATTAATAATTAATTAATTAATAAATTTAATTTAAAAAATGAGAACCGGTTATCATAACATTAGTAGTAATGTTATTTGATTGTCAAAATATCCTATTCCACAGATTTAATGTTAATTCAGCGTGTCTTGATTTCAAAATTTTGGAACATATTATTGCAAACACCGCGAATAAAAGAGTTGCCAATACTCGAAATAAATTTAGCAAATCGGAACAAGATCTAATTATATTTCTCCATAATTCGAAAGAAACAACCAAAAAAAGGAAGATATCATTCACTGTTAGGGCACCTATACAATGGGAAAATAAAATTTGATATCTAAAGAAGTAATAGAGAATGAAACTAAGCACGTTCGCCACGAATACGCCTGGCGAGCTGAATGTCTTTGGGCATAATGGTCACCCTCTTCGCATGGATAGCGCATAAATTGGTATCCTCAAACAATCCCACCAAATACGCCTCCGCAGCCTCCTGAAGAGCAAGAACCGCATGGCTCTGGAACCTCAAATCAGTCTGCAACCGAAATTCAAGGCTTAGTCACAGCAATTTCGAACCAACAAACAATTAATATTAGATTATCAAGATAACAGACCTTGAAATCTTGAGCTATTTCACGAACGAGACGTTGGAATGGCAACTTGCGGATCAAAAGCTCGGTACTCTTCTGGTACTTTCGGATCTCACTGGAAACGCACAGAAATTGCTAAAACTTAATACTCCGGGAAAAAATATTATTAACAAATTGAGAAACAAAAAGAGCGTTGAAATCCGGTAAAAGATTTACCGTAGGGCAACAGTTCCAGGGCGGTATCGATGAGGCTTCTTAACTCCACCGGTTGTTGGAGCAGATTTTCTTGCAGCCTGGAAAGTACAATGTTAATCGATATAAAAAAAATAAAACAAAAGAAAAAAGCACAGACAAATTTGATTCTCAAGAAGATTGAATCGAACAGCGAGAAACCCTAAGAATAAGGTACCTTCGTGGCGAGCTGCTTCCTTGGAGCCTTGCCGCCGGTGGACTTGCGAGCAGTTTGCTTCGTACGAGCCATCGAATCTTCAGATAAACAATGAATGAGAGAAGGAGGTGCGAAAGAAAGAATCTAAGATTAAAACGGATGATCGAAGTTTCAAGATGAGGGAAGAAAGAGAATGAAGCGGTTTTATAGCGTAATTGATGAGGTTAGGTCGGTTTAATTGCGGAACGTGGGCTTGAAGGCTTCAACCGTAGTTTTGGAATAAGAAGTGTTTTACCTTATATAAAATTCTATCATGCTATTTGTTTTCATTTTAATTTTTTAAAAAAAGGATATTCCTAATCTGTGTGCTTGCTTTTGATTGGTTGCATCGTAAAGTTAAGGATTGCCAGCGTGGACGAGTTGTGTTTCTTTTGTAAGGAACGCCGAGAGCTTCCTTTTCTACCCCCGCACCCCTCTTTTCTTGCGGCGGCTTCTACTGCATCCACTAAAATGTTAGGTTAAGCCCAAGTTTAAATTGTCAGCTTTTAAAATACTTAATAATGAATATGCAACCTTCGCATCAATGTTAGCAAACGAAAAATTAAAATAAAATGAATATATTGTCAAATATTGAATTAAAAAACTGTTTTCTTACTTGTTACAAAATTTTAACTACGTTATTCTTAAATTATTTTTATTTAATTTTAAATTCCGTTTCACAAATCACTTAAGTTAAAAGAATTACTTTCCATAACTTTCATATCAATGCGTAAGATTTACATAATGGTAAATATTATCTATTAGTCCACCAAAAAAAATATATATTATCTATTAATCTTCACCAAAAATAATATTATCTGTTAATACAAATAATAAGGATTCCTTATTTTAGTATTATTTTTTCAATGATTACTTTTATTTAATCATTTAAAATATTTACATACAAATTATAAATACATTCATTCTGTTTACAAATTATTATAATTATCTTCAAATTTTACAAATTCTCATTTTCATAAGCTTAAATTTTTATTTATGAGAATAAGCTTAACATAGTTTATGAGTTTGAAATTATCTTGATAAGTCTATTCAAATAATATTCAAATGCTTTATAAGTAGTTGTTCTCGGACTGTGTACTGGACCACTAACTCAGCGCAACTTCAAATCGAGGTTATCATCAATCGATTCAAACCAATTTAAACCATGATCGAATTGAAATAACTGAAAACCGAAAAAAAAATTGCAAAATTTAATTGAAGTGGATTGGTTTTTGAATGGGTTGGTGAAAATCGATCCAATGATTCCCAACCTACCATATACCTATTTAGGCCTTTCCTCAATCATAACCTAAAAATCATATAGCAAAATTTTAAACCAAAGATCTATTAACCCATCATATTGGAGAAAGTGAATTATGCTTGATTTATGTTATTTTATTTTTTTGGTAAGATACATAATATATTTTTATTACATAAGTTATTGTTGTACAACAGCTCTCTTACGATGAAAATTATTTTTGGTAAGATACATAATTTATTGTTTTGAAAAATAAACAATAGATAGATTTATCTACATGGATTAATAAACCCTACAAGACTTTATTAATTAAATGGATATAGTGAGGGTTGAACATGTGATACCAAAACTTTGATACCATATCCAGAATCAATTCAACCAAAAAAAATTTAAGTTATTGAGCGATATTATATTAATAATTTTATATTTATCTCACAATCTCCCTCAACAATATTATCCACGATCACAAATTCAGCAATCGAGGAGTCAACAGTAGTTAAGCTCATTTAAACTATAATGAATTTTTAAATTAAATCGCAACAGCAATATAATCCAAACCTTATAAGTAAAGGTTTGCATTATGTACGAATCATCAGCTCAGAAAATACCCATCCCACGAACTAGTTGTGCTTTACTTTGAATCAAATAGTCAATTCCTTACAACCATTGCCCTCATTTCACAGCGTGCGCTTTCTAACTCCTCCTTAACATCTATCTACATTGAAAAGGGAAAATAACTAAAAAAGTGAAGAAAAAAACATTATGCACCACAAATGAGAGGTGCGCTCCAATTGGCAGGAAGCAGAAAGTAGAATGAAATACACAAACGTTTATATTTTCCTTTCGGCAGAAAGGGGATGATAAAATACAAAAACGAAACCCAAGTAAGGAAAAAAGAAAAAATTTATTAGCAAACACGACGCACCTAAAATATATTTATTATTAATAATAAATGTTATTTGGGTTCATTTAAATAAAGTGTAAATTCATATTATCTGGACCCACGTAAAATTTATCAAATAATAAAGGATATGTCAAAGCAGGTGTTGCGCATTCCAGAGATGAAAAATGTGAGTGGCAAGCGAGGAAGTTGCATAGTGCAGGCACAGACACAAACCGGTTGAACCTTGGACCCTAAGTGGAGCACAATTTCTCACAATTCATTCTCTTTGTTGCGGAGGTTAGGGTTTTCTTCTCTAGTCTTCGCCTTCTTCTTGTGAATTGTCTATTGCTTATTTATCGCTCTCTGTCTGTGCCTGACGCAATCGAGCTTCAATTTCTTGCTTTTCTTGTCTTGGACTTACTTTGACTTGTTATTTTTGACCTCCGAGCACCATCAAATTTATTATATCTTCTGATTTCCATTTTCTTCTCTTTTTAACGTCTGCGAATCGCTAACACTTGTTTCTCTAAGAATTTTATTCGGCCTGATTTACCGAGTTTTTTCTTCTTCTTCTTCTTCTTTAATTTTTAATATTCTGGCTTTTAGTTCGGGTGCAACGTATTACTGTTTTAGAATCTCTTATTGGTTGAAAATTTGGACTATGTTGAAAACCTAAGGCTTGATACGTGAGGGGTTTGGTATTATTTAGGCAATTAAAGCCACTGTAGAGTGAGGAGTTTGGGTAGTTTGTCATTGATTTCTTTTCTTTTCTTTTCTTTTTCTTTTTTTTAAAAAAAAAAGGCAAGTGATCACGAATATTGCTTTATCTATCCTCTTAGGTGTTGATATTCAATTATCCATCAGATCATGTTACAGGTTTTTGTTGCTTTTTAAAATCCCTTCTTTAGTGGATGAGTAAGTAAGACCATAGATTTGACTGCTTTTTCATTTTTCTTCAGTTATGCTCAACTTTTATTGTGTTTAAATATTTAAATTCCAGAATGACCACTTAGTTCCTTTGGTGGTACTCTGCATTTTTCATTTTCCTTTTTATTCATTTTATATGTAGCACTGAATTATTAATGAAGTAGTTTTTGTATTGAGTCATTTCTTGATTCATATGAGATTATGAGGTCGTTAAATTCTCCATTCCAACTGTTGATCTTAGATTTTCCAATTCAACACTTCTCATCTCAAGATTAAAAACACAAGGCGGCCAACTATCATCCACTAACTGCTAACGTATAATATTCACAAACACGGATAAAAATTGATGATCAAGAATTCCAGAACTTCCTTCCTGTAATCTGTTGATTAGGAGTGCCATTGATTAGGAATGCAACCTTCACGTACTAGGTACCTATAAGTATTACTGAAGAGGAACTCAGTCATATAGTTGTTTATTATCTTTGATTTTGTGATATTTAGCCATGCATTTTGTGTTCAGAACATTAGAATCAATTAAGGGTCCTTTCTTCCCATGCATTCTGCCATTCCTTTTCAATGTGCTTTGATGGTTTATCTTTCTTCTTCATACTTCATTATTCATTTGTTCTACCTTTATGTTTCTTTATTGCTTCCGCTGAAGTCATAAAATAAGACTAATGACTGTTAAATTTGATATAATATTGGGATAATTTCCTTAATTTAAATTGTTTATGTTTTTTGTTCCTGTGGCAACTCTACTACACAAGTCCCGTATCTGCCATGTGTGTCTGTGTGTGTGTGTGTTGCCTTCCTATGCGGTTTTGCCATTATTTCCCTCAAGGTTTCTGCAAACTTTTCAACTCTCTTTTGCTTATATGGAATTGATTTAGTCGTGCATGATGAGTAGCAGATGCCCCCAACCCTCAATTTGCAGAAATTTCCCCACATACATATAGCTTATTTGTTATATCCTAATTCTATCTCAGATATCCTTTGAGACTTAATATGTGAGTCTGTTATAGTTTTCAATATTTGCAAGTTGGATTCATTATTTTATTGTAGACTTATTAAGTCATATTCTTGTATAGGGATAATTTTGATCAAGCATGGGCTAGGTTTATAATCCCTATTTGTAAGCATGGTAAGTATTTTAATCCATGCAGCATCTATTCTTGTTGGAGTTGTTGATAGAGGAATTCCTTCCTATCCGCATCCCAAGAAAGAGGAGGTTGAAAGAGGTCCCCTACTTATGTCAATTTTCCAACATAAACTATGAGTTTCTATATTGATATGCAGGACTTCTAGCAAACTGTAGTTTGATTAACCAATTTCCATATTGGTTGGGGAAGCCTTGAGTTAATATTTACCTTTTTCTACCATTGGTGTTTCTAATGGATGATGCTGGGCATCGTGAAAATGGAAGGCATAAAGCAGATCAATATAAAACTGCTCAGGGACAGGTATATAAAAAAATACTTTTCTGCTCAGAGATAATTTCATTACAATTTAATGTTACATGAACAAACAATTGGTAATTGTAACATGTACTCCCTGTTAAGAAAGATGCTGCCTTTGATAATATTATCTCAAAATTGCCATTGTAGTGGTTGATGCAACATCAGCCTTCCATGAAGCAAATTATGGCAATTATGGCTGAAAGAGATGCGGCTATTCAAGAAAGAAATCTGGCCCTTTCTGAGAAAAAGACAGCACTTGCAGAGCGTGACATGGCATTCCTGCAGCGAGATACTGCAATTGCAGAGCGAAATAATGCAATTATGGAACGAGATAATGCGATTGCAGCTCTTCAGTATCGAGAAAACACGTTAACTAGTGGTAGTATGTCATCGTGTCCTCCAGGATGCCAAATTTCACGTGGTGTCAAGCATATTCATCATCCTCAGCAACAGGTACACCATTTACCTAACATGGTTGATGCTTCTTACAGCACACGGGAAAGGCACCCAGCAGATGCCCTTCCATCCGCACCCATCCCTTCAGAAGTTGGGAAATCACGGCGGGCCAAACGACCAAAGGAAGCTAAGTCGATTTCACCTAATAAAAAGACTTCGAAAGCAGCAAAAAAAGTCAAGAGGGAGAATGAAGACTTGAATAAGATGATGTTTGGCGAGGCACATGAGTGGAAGAGTGGTCAGGAAATGGTCAACGGAGGTGATGATCTTAACAAGCAGTTAGTGGTGTCGAAGGCGGATTGGAAAGGTCAGGACTTGGGGTTGAACCAAGTGGCATATGATGAGTCAACCATGCCAGCGCCAGTATGCTCTTGTACTGGTGTACTGAGGCAGTGCTACAAATGGGGGAATGGGGGTTGGCAGTCTGCCTGTTGCACAACAACGCTGTCAATGTATCCACTTCCAGCAGTGCCCAACAAGAGGCATGCTCGGGTAGGTGGTCGAAAGATGAGTGGGAGTGCTTTCAATAAACTGCTTAGTCGGCTTGCAGCCGAAGGTCATGATCTGTCAAACCCCGTTGACCTCAAGGACCATTGGGCCAAACATGGTACAAATCGGTACATCACAATAAAGTAAATTGTGAGAAATTTTTGTCTCTGGGGCAGCGATACATAAATAGAAACAGCTTTTAGTGATCAATTGTGGATTCTCAAACCGAACAACTAGGAAAATAAGGTAACTGTAAAGGTCTTCAGGGAAAGCTAATGATTAGGTTATGCCCTTATTACCTATAATTAGGGTGCATAATCCTGCATAATGTTGGCTATATTAGTGATTGATGAAATGACACTATAATCATCCTTGCCAATTGTACCTCATTTAATCTGCTGAAATGGTCTGGTGTCACCAATGGCTTGTAAAAAGGTTGCATGATGGATAAGTAGTGAGTCCTTAAGCCCGAATAACTGTAGAGACTCGTGTCCTTAGTCTTCTTGAAACCCTATCTATGAGTTAATATGTAGAATTGTGTATGAATGTATCTATCAGATATGTATGTTATTTTCCATCTACCTTGGAACCCTCTATCTATGAGGTAAGTTTTTATGGGTGGTTGCAACAGGAGGTAACGAATTATCCAAAGATGATTAACGTCTTTCTTTTTTCTTACAAAGGAGATGTAAAATCTGGAGTAGGGAAGAAAGGGCAGACTAATGTGGAGGACCTTATTGAGGTTCGATCACAGGATTAAGCAATTCTCAAAAAGACTTGGTTCACCTGAAATAATCTTAAGGCTTGATTAACGTATTTCTATGTATAGCGTGATGGTTAAATGAACTTCAGAATAACTTTCGGCTGTCTCAGATTCTATTTCCAAAAAAATTAGTACTTTAAGCTTAAAATTTAGTCTCTAGAAATCTATAGCTTAAAATTTAGTCTCTAGAAATCGAACTTAACTTTTATCTCCTTTTGATATTTTAATAGTTTAGTTTAGTTTAGTTTAATTTGACAACGGTCAATCTTAGTTTAGTTTAGTTTAATATTTTAATAGTTTAGTTGCCATATTTTCCTGTCTTTATTATCTAGTTGTTGAAAATCGAACCCTTTAATAAGCATTAGCTTATGTTAACTTCTTTCCATGCATGTAAAATTGTAAACGGAAGGCACGGGGCACTGTTCATTATATTCTTTGGAATGAATTTTGGTTTTACAAAAGTGTGCGATGATTTATGATGCCGCATCCTTTCTCTTTACTGTATATGTATACCTGAATCTTGTGGCTGCATCTGTGGAAACTGGAGAGCTTCAAAAGAATCAATTTGTCAAAACTTAGAGCTATTCCAGCATATATAATATGGACAACATATGAAACTGGGATTTGGCTTATCTTGCCTGTGCTTTAGCTTCAATCTTGTTTGGTTACCTAGGGTTGAAAATTGTCATTTAAGCAATGCAAGGAAAGCCACGGAAGGAAAAAAGGAAATTGTAATTTCGGTTGTAATTCGAAGCGAATCATTATTATGATAAACTTAAGGGAGAGTAATAAGCGTAGTTTTCCCAAAAAAGACAACATTTTAAAAATTACAAGCAAAACAATGCAATAAAACCAGACAACCAATGTTACGAAAACGAGCAAATAAATAACTAAAGCATCCCAACTTTAACTTGTACAAGTCGTATGCAGCCAACAGTGCATGTCAGATTATACAGATTGTCAGCACCTGCTATATAAGCCAGGGATAACTGTAAAATAGTATTTCTCATCACCCACAGAACTATAAAGGCATATCAAAACAACATTAACAAATTCAGTATCGGGATCTGTAGAAGAAAAATGAAAAGTAAAGTTCTGAGTCATGAAAGTAGTTCAAGATTTTCAACAGATAGAAATGCAAGAACTTGCATTTCAGCCAAATGGAAGATCTTCATCATTGGCTACAACATCCAGTTGTGGAGGCTGTCTCCTTCTTAAGCAACAAAAACGTTCGTTGGGCAAAAATATTATCATAAAAATTCGTATCCAAACAGTAAAAACAAGAACCACATCAGGAGCAATCAATATATTTAGTATCCTCGAGGGTATAAGATAAACAAAGTTCTCAATCTTCCTATTCAATGAAAGATTCTTTGCACCCAAATCAAAGTTTGAGATCTCAACTATTTATAAGATTCATTATTACTATAATACAAATCCCCCCGACCATAGTTTGAGCTGTTTTTTTTTTATCATTGTAGGTTCTTATGATCCAAAAACACTATTTTGAGATTTGGTAAAAATTATTTATTATTCTGGTGGTTAATCCATCACCCTCCACATTTTTTGTTTGAAAAAAGAAAAGAAAAGAATGGGCCAACCGTATTGTGTCACATGGCACAATTAGGGAATGAGGCTCCCCTTATGGATATTACTATCTAATTGCGTCTTGTGGTGCAATATACTTGATTCATTTTTTTTGTAACAAAAATAAACAAAATAAAATTCACCATTCCTTTTTTTATAAAATACATATATTCTCACCCTTTTACTTTAAAAACCAGATAATTAAATTTATTAATTAATGCATAATCACAATTATTGATTAATATATCAATATATTCATAATTGTCAAGTAATAATAATAGTAATAACTAATTATTCATTGATGGAAAATTTTGTATAAATTCAATAATTGGTTATAATTGTTTTTTAAACAAATAATACTTATAATTTAAAAAATATTTCTATAATTCTTTTATGGGTCCGCTTTTTGTGCAGTTACTGCAAATAAGTTATCTGCAATAAGCCCAATACGACGTCGTTTTGGGAGGAAAACCATGGTATTTTTATAATTTTAATTTATTTCAGGGTTATTATAGTATTTATAATTATAATTTTTTAATCTTTCAATCCAAAACGACGTTGTTTTGGAAGTAAATACAGATAACTTATTTGTGTTAACTACATAAATATTTTTTTGTTTTTTTATAATCTAACCGCAAACAAATAATTAAACTCCATGAATTATTATTAATTCACATGGGTGGATACTGTAAAATCATAATAATAATAATTCATTGATAAACAACATTCCAAAATATATAATTCGATCATAAATTATTACAAAATTTATAAATTCAATCATAAATTATTATAAATAATATCTAAAAATATATAAATCAATCATAAATTATTACAAATAACACTTTAAAATATATAATTCAATTACAAATTATTATTAACAAAATTTCAAAATATATAATTCAATCATAAATTATTATAAACAAAACTACAAAAATCATAATCCAACCACATATTATTAACAAACAAAGTTTTCCACACAGAAATGTTTTTTAATGATTATTAAGTAAATAATATTTTACTATAACTATATTGATTTTTCTCATTGGCATGATAATGTTTTTCCTATGGAAAGAGACTAGAAGAACCATTGGTCATTGCTTAAAAATTGAGAGAAATCAAAGAGAAAATGGTCATAAGAAATTATAGAGAAAACACTACTAAATGAGAGGAAGAGAAAAATAAAGATATTAAGAGTGGGGAAGCTTGATAATAAGAAAAAATAAAAGTGAATAATGAGGGTGATGATAACTTCTTTTTATTTTGCTTTTTTTTACTTATTTCCCTAATCAATCCCGGATACCGCGTTCCAATTTATTTTATGTTATTTACTTCAGTAATTTGTATTTTTGCAATTTATATTTTGGCAACTTATATTATAGCAATTTATATTTTTCTAATTTATATTTTCACAATTTATAATTATATACGTAAATATATATTCATTGATTTATAATTCAACAATTAATATTTTAGTAATTTATTTTTCTACAGTTTATTTTGTTACATATTGTAATTATATATTTATGTTTATATATTATAATTTATATTTAAGCACATTTAAATTTTTTTGCAATTTATAATTATCGTACATGTACATAGTAACATATACATGAATAATGTCATATATGCGATAAATATTGTACATAACTACATATATTTATTTAATTATTTATTTTTATTGTTGAATGTTCATTATATTGATATGTTAAGCATTATAACTCTTCTGGAAACTGATCCAAATCCACACCCTACAGAAAAAGAAAAAAAAGGATGATCAATTAAACAGGGAAAAAATATATAACAACTACAGCGCAAACAAAGTGCACTCTACGTCAAAATATACATTTTCAATATTTCATAGCAATGATAATACAAACCCTCTTGAAATGTAGCTCGCACAATTCACCAGCACTCATCCCTAACAAAGACACACAGTCGCGATCAAACAGAAGAAATGGTGCGGAATCCGTGTTATCCACAACTCTTACCTGAACACTAAATCTATCATTTTGCAAAATTGTATATCAGAAAAATATATTAAGCATACAGATTAAAGACAAATTAAAAACCAAGAACAATATATTACCTCGGATAATAATCTTCCCAATGTTTTTGGCAGTTCTTACAGTACCATTTCTCAAAATCCTCACAAGTGAAAAAATGGACATTTTTTTGCAAGACTTGTACCACCAGTTGAATTTGCTCTCAATAGATTTTATAATCACATACGTGATGCAAGTCGTAACCTTAAATATAGCAATCACAGGCAAACAGTTCACATCATTCATACAAACTTGATATAATTCAAGAAAAGCGAAAAAACAGAAATTTGATATTTACCTCACCACAAAGCTTCACATAACTGATAGACTTCTTTTCAGTCTCCTTTAGAAAATCATTTTCGTAAGAATAGGAGGACTGAATAGACAACTGAGTCATCCTCAGACTTATTTCCACACCATCAGCCGAAAGACTATAAAGAAAAAACTCATAACACCATAAATGATTAACCGAATAAATTGTCAAATGAGTTCAAGAATAACAAACACACCATTTTTTGAACTCAACGATCTCTGGCATCTTCGAATCCATGACAATCCTTGTTGTATATTTTGTATTTGTTAACCCAACCTTACCTATCGAGTTGAGTATATCAAATAAAAACCGAAAAGCCAAAAATAAAATAACGTTAATGAAACAGAATACAGAAGCATCATACTGATAACGTTTTGTTTGGAAAAATCATACCCCTAAAACATTTTATCCTGCCTAGTTGGACTATCATAACGTTATGAGGAGTGTCGCTATTTGCCAAAAAAAATTGGACCTCATCCACATAATGCTCCCACAAAGTTCACTCCAGCTTGTGACCCCTTCATATGAGTTGCAGCAAGAACAACGGTAATACACGAAAAATATAAGCTAACAGAGCTTGACAAAATTATTTTTTTTAAATCTACAATTTTAAATACCTCAGGTTGTCAAGCTCCAACACAACCATTTTCGTCTTCTTACCAGACACCACACGTTCACAAACTTCTCCAATTCCTGAGATTAAACCAATGACGTCGACAAAAAAAAGAGGGCATCAAAGAGTTCGTAAAAAAAAATGCAAAAATTAAAAAATGAAAAACAGTTAGGAAAAATATATTACCCACTAAATAAGGAGAGTCAAATGTTTCTTTCTCAATGATGTCATAATAAACAAAATCAAATTCACTCGCAGAAATATTAGAATCAACAATTGATTTAAGATCCATCCTCAAATTGAAAGACAAACGATACTGATGCTTGGTTGGCCTGAACACATCGCAATTGAATCCAACTCCAATTTTTTTTTATAAAATAGCACTCTCCTTCATGGATTGTCTTCCGCACCGACAAAGAACCTTTGACAGTGGCGTTGATCCTGCCACCCTACAAAAGAACGTAGCCAACTCACATCAATAGCGTTAATTAAAATGATCAGAACAAAGATGGAAGATTTAAAAAATGCAAAGATGGAAGATTTAAAAAACGCAGACAACTACATGTTCATCCAATAAAACCATTTCAACATTGTCGTCAAAATCTCTACGCTGAAAGTTAGGAACTTTCCAAGCACGAACCACCTTCACCTTAATCCTCCAATCCTCTTTGGCAGGATTGACATCCTTTAGAAAATCATATTTTGAAAACATATTTTTGGTAAGACGAAAAAAGAGAGAAGGAAGAAGCTATTTGGTTGAGGAAGCAATGCACAAACAGCTGATATTTGTGTAATACCCCATATTTTTATTAACTTTAACCTTATGCCTTTTAGTTAATTTGAGGAGCTCAAAAATTAATTAAGTTTTGAGGACGAAACTTCTTTTAATGAGGGTATAATGTAATACCCCATATTTTTATTAACTTTAACCTTATGCCTTTTAGTTAATTTGAGGAGCTCAAACTTTTAAGTTTCGAGGACGAAACTTCTTTTAAGGAGGGTAGAATGTAATACCCTATATTTTTATTAATAAAATAGTAATAATAATAATATAATAATATGATAAATTATAAATTAGTAGTAATAATATATGTGTATATATATATATTTTTATAGTGATAGATAACACACTATAATATTAATTTTACCTTTAATAAAATTATTTTGTGCGATATGAGTGTTATTGAAAAATAATTTTGATACTTTGTAATACTCTAGATTATTTATAATAAAATAATATTAATATGTGTGTGTATATATATATATAAGATGATAAATTATGATTAATTGATTATTAATTGATTGATGATTTATGCATTAATGTTTGATTAGATTAGGATGAGTCAACAAACATAAATTGTTTAGATATGATGAGTCAGCATTGAGTCAGTAATGTATAAGCCCAAAACTTCAACTATAAATAGAGACCTAGCCTAACCAAACCAATTCAATCTCCTCTACTACTCTCTTTCTTCTCACTCCAAAAAGTTTATTTTAATTATTTTCAATCTTTATATTTTTTGATTATCAACCGGTTCTCTGTCCCAAATTACTCTTCTCTTCTAGAAGTTAGCAAAAACGGAGACCAAGTAATCCTAATCCCTAGAGAGTCATAGATTATATTGATATGAATTTTGGTATATGTAATCCTATTCGTAGGTTATTTCTTTTATATAAAACTTGGATGTAATCCTAATCTCTAGAGAGTCATAGATTATATTGATATGAATTTTGGTATATGTAATCTTATTCGTAGGTTATTTTTTTTATTACTACTAATTTATAGTTTATCATATTATTATTATTATTTTATTAATAAAAATATAAGGTATTACATTCTACCCTCCTTAAAAGAAGTTTCGTCCTCGAAACTTAAAAGTTTGAGCTCCTCAAATTAACTAAAAGGCATAAGGTTAAAGTTAATAAAAATATGGGGTATTACATTTTGGCAGCAGCAAAAAAAGAAAAAAATCAGAAGCAACAATGTCGTCCCGCGTTCGAATAGAATACAGAGAAGCAGATGTATTTTTTAAATTTTTTAACCAATCCAATGCAGAAAGTAGCTCAACATTAATTGAGTTGCATGCCACAATTCAGAATTCAAAAATCAAATTTAAAATTTCAATTTAAAATTCAAACTCAAATTTCGAAATTCACATTAACAATAATTTGTAGAAAGTAGAGGTACATTAAATGTTCTGTCTGCCACCAACCATTTATAACAAATCTTGACCATTGATGCAAACGAAGAAATCTTGTCCATTGATTTGCTATTGAAAAATTGATTTTGTTTTATATTTATTTTATTCACTGCTTTACCAAAGAAGGAAAGGTTTTTAAAATTTGGTTGTGTGAACACAAAGGTGAAAGTGAAGGAGGAAGCGACGCGTCAGCGGACTTGCCAAAGAATGGGTTTCTCTTAGAATATGAGATTATGGCTAATGAATCAAAATAAAAAGACCCACTCAAAATAAGACATTGACATTAGAAGTGTCAAAATTGGTTAAAATTTGCGGGCCAACCCGCAAAGCATTATATTTGGCTCTAACCCGTTATGGCCTTTTTGTTGTAGGCTTTTTTTAGCCCTAACCCTCAAGGTTCTATAATTTGGCTGGCTGGGTTAGAGCTGGCCTGCGGACCAAACTTTTTCTTCACCAAATTTATTATTATTTAAAAAATTAAAAATTACATAAATTTAAATATTTATAAATATAAATAAAAATTGTTATGAATTTGATGGAGAATATGAGAAAAAGTGAAATATGAAAGAAAGGAAAATGAAGTGTAGATAAAAAAAAAAGAATAAAATAAGAATAAGTATTAGCAAAGAGTCCTATATAAGGACATATCTTAGATGCATTTTTAAACATGGAAGTCATGAAAAAACAAAGAGTCACATGTTATGAACCATGTGAAAGTTCATCCATAATATTTTACAACAAAAATGAATTTTTCAGCCGTAGTACGTTTTAACAGAAATCTTCATCTGCGCATCAATAAAAATAAAATTTTCTATTGACATAAGCATGTTATACATCCAAATTTGTATTGAAACATATTGTATACAATGTACTTAAGTAATTTTGTGGATAATAATAACTAAAAAGATTTTTTATACGGTAGTAATTAAAGCAAATTAATGATTTTACTTTCAAATATATATCATATTAAGAGTAGTTTTTCCATCATTACTTTTAGTTTTCCACTATAATTGTTTATTCTATTATGACTCTCGGTAAGAACTTGATTATTGAGGTTTACTTGACCCTGTGAATTTGTTGACCGTAACCCACATGGGTTAAGATCAAATGGGACAAGTTCATCCATTTTGACAGCTATAGTTGACATATATTTTGAAGATTTTCAAAATTAATTCCTAGATACTGTAAAGTATAATTGTCAACGGTAGTTAGTATAAACACGTAACCAGTGAATACGAAAATGTAAAGAACTCGTAAATGAAATTGCCCTGAACGGGAGTTCATATCTCTGTTTAAATTTATTTACTATTTCCATTCATGTGATAGGATTGAAATTAATTACCTACCAAATAAAAAATATTTGATGGAATCTTTTCTTACATATGGACCGAGAAAAAAAGCAACATATAAAGAATATAAAGAATAAGAAACCGCGTCCCAACGAAGTTAACGTGCTAAGACATAGACATAAGTGATTGTTTTGTTGGTCCTGAAGACAAAGAAGGAGAAGACACACACAAACGCAACACAATCAAATCATCGTGATTGTCAAAACACAAACACTAAAACAGCACACTTGATGTTACTGTTCTGCTACTGTTACACAACCTCTACCACCGAATTTTGTACTAAGTTCTTAAGTTTCAGGTGTGTCCGAGGTAGGGTTTTTGCACAGTTCTCACCAGGTACACAAGCTACTGTCTTTAATGCACCCTTTGATAGGGTCAATTCGATTGTTTACAAATTTGTGGATTGATATTTGTCCTATTAGACGAAGTTATTTTGAGCTTTGGTTCATTTTTCATGTTTTAATTGATAGTTGTGAGCTGTGAATAGGAGCATAGTAAGTCAATGGAAGGTGTTGACCAAAATGGTATGCATCGAACCAGTTATGCATTTGGTCCTCAAGTACCAAGACCACCAAACCAGAAACTTGGTATACCACCCTCCCACCCAAATGTTAATATCCCTCATTCAACTCCTTATGCCCAATTTTCGGGGTCATCTTCTCAGCGATTGCGTTCTCCGGGTTCTTCCCATTCAAGGTCTTTGTCTCAACCATCAATTTTCTCGCTGGATTCCTTGCCCCCATTGAGTCCTTCACCAGCTACTACCTCCTTTTATGACTCGATTTCGACAACAGATATGTCTGTGGAGGAAAGTTTGGTTTCCTCTCAAGCTCCTTCCAATGGCGGTCATGTGCTTCAGGGTGGTCATAGACTTCCTCCTCGTAAAGGACATAGGCGCTCGAGCAGTGATTCCCCTTTGGGAATCTCTGGTTTTATGCAATCTTCTCCTCCTCCATTGGTTCCTCCCCGAGGAGAAAGCTCTGGTTTTGAGAAGCCAATCCAGTTAGTGTTAAAGGGGTCAATTAAGGATGAGGACCGTATTGACGAGGCTATGAATGAGAGGAAAGAGGAAGGTGCGGATGATTTGTTTAGTGAATTCATGAATTTGGACAACATTGATAATCTGAACTTTTCTGGGATGGAAGATAAGGATTTGGATAGCAGAACTAGTGGTTCAAAGACAGTAGAAAGCAGTGATACTGAAGTTGAGAGTCATGCAAATGGGAAAACAAGTGGTAGTCAGGGGGCAAGTTCAAGCTGGTTTGAGGAAAGAAGGGAAGGAATCAAGAGGAGTTCAGATGGGGACATTGCACCAGGTGCCCGGCACCGGAGAAGTTTCTCATTGGATAGTTCCATAGGAAACTTTCATATTGAGGATGGATCTCCTAAGCTTCCCCTTTTGAAAAATCAAGTTGGTCAACACTCACCTAGCAATTCAATAGATGGTAAAACATCTGAAACCACCCTGGATTATGGAAATGGTGAATTCAATGTAGAGGAGCTGAAGAAAATAATGGAAAGTGATAAACTTGCTGAAATTGCCTTCTCTGATCCCAAGCGTGCAAAAAGGTGATATTTTTTCTTCTCTTCATCCTCCTTTCTGTCCCTTACTTTTGAAAAAATAAAATAAAAAAATTAGAGCTCCAATAATTCATTATATCCCTTGTATACTTGTTCAGAATTTTGGCTAATCGTCAATCAGCTGCTCGTTCAAAGGAGAGGAAGATGCTATACATTACTGAATTGGAGCATAAAGTGCAAACCCTTCAGACAGAGACAACCACATTATCTACTCAGTTTACCAAATTACAGGTGGATATATTTTGTGAGAAGTTCATATCCCCTCTTCTTATGAATCATGTATATTATTACTCTTTCTTCTCATCTTATTGTATTTGTCTCTAGAGGGATAACACTGAGCTTAAAAATGAGAACAACCAGTACAAATTAAGGCTTCAAGCGATGGAACAACAGTCTCATTTGAAAGATGGTTTGTATATACACTTTCCTCCTACTTTACGTATTAGTTAGGTCAAACCTGCTCTAACTTATTCGATCGTGTAAAGTCCTTATTTGAAGTAGGCACTTCGGTGGTGAATTTTCCCCAGAAATAACCTGTTTTTATGATCATGTACAATGGTGTTTTTTTTTTTTAGTAAATGGATTGTATATGTAATTAGTAATGACATTATTCACTTATGGCATTGTTGAGTATTTTTATACCTAATCATGTTTCTTGAGGCATATTATTTGTTTCATCATTATGTATGAACATCTCCGTCCCTTTCAAAACTGCCTGCTTCGCCTAGGCATCTGAATTCATCTTGGCAAACGCTTGCAAATTTGAAATCCAAGGGCCTTTTGCACTAATAATTTGTTTTCTTACTGTCCTTGTTTGATGGTGATAGCCCCTTCAAATCTGCATATCAATATTGCTTGAATGTAATCTGGTTTTAGTTGCATTTTTTTGCACAGATGGGGACACTTGATCTGTTCCAAGAAAACAGAAAAAGGAAGGGCTGGGGGTCTCTGGTGGTAAAGGTTAAAAATAAAAACTATTAAGTTTTATATTTTGAGATATTTAATGGAAAATTAAAACTGATTATCATTATTACCATACAAAGTGGATTCCTGTCAATATGAAAATGTATGGTAAAAATGCTTTTCAAATTTTAGAAAAGGGGAGCCATAAAGGGGGGGGGGGGGGGGGGGGGATTACTTTGGGTAGACTCAGTAAAATTTTATTGCCTTCAACCCCTTCTCAGCTGTGTCTTTCATAACTGGTTTCCATAGTTCTCCCTTGTCAGATTTTTTTTTTATCAAATGTAGTATTGTAGTAGTAATTGTTATTGGTTAACCACTAATTTACAAATTTAGATGTTCTCTCTTTATTTGGGGTTACTTTTATCTGAACTTCTATCAATAATTTAGGGGAATTAAAGTGGTTTCCCACTACTTTGGAAGTTTGGCTTGATGTTTCCTCTCATTTTTTGTTTGTTTGTTAATTATTAGTATAGGCATGTTCAATATAATTATTGTCGTGTAAATATTTTCATCTTTTGAAGACATTGGCATTACGGTTTAGCAGCTTGAACTCGTAAGTATATTTCTCCATTTTCCTCCTCCCCCTTCTTCAAAGCACTATACTCTCTTGGTTTTGTGCTGAAAATGAATATCTTCACATGACCTGTCAGTCTAAATATTTTGCTGCATGCACATGTACATACATGTAGAATTCCAAGATCAGGGGTAAATGTGCCATGGGAAGTATTGATTTACATTTTGAAAAATAAGGGGATGATGAAAGCAATGCACGGAATAGTTCATTTCATTACTATTTCTGCATTATGAGTGTGTAACGTAGTATGCTAGGGTGATGAACTTGTATTTCAAAAGATGTATAACAATTTGAGTGGTTATTTGGGCAGCTCTGAAGGAGACCTTGGATGCTGAAGTACGGCGATTGAGGCTTGCAGTTGCAGAACTTGGTGGGGAATCCCTCACGAGTTGCATGGCTCGACAACTTGCTATTAACCAGTTACAGCATCAGCAACTCGGCCAGCAGCATAGACATTTTATACCTCAAAATCGCCATACTCATGGAGAGACAGAGTCTCAAGGCAATGAATTGCATCCTCAGACTCAGTCACAGCAGATTCAACGCAATGAATTGCATCCCCAACCTTAAATTACAAAGCATTATCACACCAAATAGTAGAAGCAAATGGAGCTGATGGGGGATAATCAATCGTATATAAGCAGCACTTAACTAGCATTAGTTTGCTCTTAGTTTCGTAGATTATCTTTATTTAATTTATTTCTTTTGTCTGTTTTACCCGCATATATAAACTCCGAATATTCTGTTCATGTTAGGGGACCTTTTGGTCTCTGTTGAAGGGGCCATATTGTGGCATAATCTAATAATAATATATGCTGTTTTTTTTATGTGGGCAGAAGCAATGACCTGCAAATTTATGCTGTTTTCTATTAATAATAAATAATTAAATGATCATAAAATAACCAAGATTCAAATAAAAAGCCAAAACAATTCAAAATTTCAAATAATTTAAATATATAAAATAAATATGAAGCAACAGTTGTTTATTAACTATTTAAAATGCTTATTCTTTTTTTCATAAAAAATAATTGTACTTCCATTTCTTTTCGTTAATCTTCTGCAGTATTACAAACCAAAGCAAAAATAAAATAAAACTTCGACAGTATGGTTTGCGAATTATTTAAACCAAACTTTATTAGTGAAAGAATATTAGTTATCTTATGCCTTTATCACGTAAGTCTGTTTTTACATATTAAATTAGTTTTTATTTTTTGAAAATAGTTAATTTTCTTATTTTTTTAAGTTCTAAATTTACTTTTGTTCAGATCAGTTATGTATTTTTTTTATATTTTTACTTTTGTATTCTATTTAAATTAAATATATATGTATTTTTTATTTAAATATTTTTATATATTTTTCTTTTATTTTACTTAAATTAAAAGTTTTCATATAATGCAAAAAACTTATTAATCATAAATACTAAAACACTGAAAATATAAAATTTAAGGCAAGATTATAAAGATTTAGTATAAAAAATAATATAAATATATTAATTGAGAAAAATATTTATCCTTTTAAAAAATAATTATTCTAGTTAAAATTAATATTTTTTATTTTATATTTAAATTAATATTTTTTTATTTTTTATTTAAATTAAAAAAATCTTTCACTTTTTCTCATCATAATTTATGTTTCTGTCATCATAAAATATAATTATTTTGACTAAAATAACATAATTATATCTCCTTTAAAAGGATAGACATTAATTCCATCTTAATTATATAATAATATTATAAAGATAAGAATGTTATAAGTATAAATTTCCATGTGTTATTAAAAATATTAATGTTTAGTTATCACAGACACATTATTTAAATAACATAATGAAATATAATGACACAATAGTATAGAAGAACAATAAAATAAATATTAAATATTTATATTTTATATATTAAATGTGGCTTAATTTCCAAATTTATTCAATTTTTTTTTTTAAAGTTTAACTGTTTGAAGTAATTATACATTTTTTAATAAAAAATATTATTTAACTGAGTAACATTTACGATACCTGCAACGAGAGCTTAAAGAATAATAAAAGACTAAAAAGAGAGGGACAAGTTCCAACACGTCGAAGCCTTTTGATAAACGAATTAGGAAAAGAAACAGAAAATCTAAGGACAACGACAGAGTGGAGCCAAAATCCAAAATTGTCACATAATAATAATCATTTGTTTCCTTGTTTTAATTATTTTTTATCCACAATTTGTTTCTATTCATTTATTTAAGTCAAATAATCAAAAGTTGAGGTTGTTGCTACTCTCGAAAACCCAAGGACAATCTTTCTCTTTATTATCCCTTTTTTTATTTGAGCACTTTGTTAAAATTGAATTAGGGTTTCATCTCGCATTTCCCTTTTCTTCACCCTCTACTGTCACTGCGCAAACCCGATTCGCCTCTCTTCTGCATCTTTACCTTTTTCCCGCCATTTCCCGCCACTTAGATTTCTGAGATTTTAATACTAGCCGTTAGATCTGCCTTTTTCTTCACATATATATATATTTTTCTCCGGTTTCCGAAAAAAAAAAAAAAACTTTTGACCGTTGCTCTCGCCGGAGTGAACGGGAAATGTCTGCATCCGACGCGGAGAAGAAGGTTGAGGAAGAGAATGAAATGCTCAAAGGTGGAGAGCTCTTGTTCTGCGGTGCCACGTGTTGGGATATCGTTGGTCGTCGCAAAGGCTCCGTCGATGGTAACTTAATCTCTCCCTCACGCCTCCGTCCTCTCGTCGGGATTGATATTCGCTACGTTGCCTCTGGTTGTGGTAAGTTTCTCCTCATTTTTTTTTTAAACTCATTTATCTGTGTTATATTCACTTTTTTTTTTTTTTTTTTTTTTTTTAATTTTTTGGTTCTATTGTGAATGCAGGTTCATGTCATTGCGTGGCATTGGACGTTGAAGGGCGTTGCTATACATGGGGCCGTAATGAGGCATGACTATAAAGTTTAAATATATATTTTAAATTATTTATGCTGTGTCTCTAATTTGTGAGATTTGTTGTGCAGAAGGGGCAACTGGGTCATGGAGATACCATTCAGCGTGATAGGCCAACCGTGGTGTCCGAACTTTCCAAGTGAGTTATTGTTTTTGTTGCTGCGGATGCGGTTGTTTCTCTGTCTTCTTTCATTTTTTTTGCTATAAATATAATGCTTCCTTATTTAGTATTTCTGTGTGTATAAGCAAGCAAAAAAATATATATATACATGTCTTTTCTTCTGGTGTTTTTTATGGCTTTGTAAAATAGTTGGGAAGAGGTATTTACATGTAAACCTAGCTAGCTGTTAGGGAATGCTCTGCAAAAGTTCTCTCTCTCTCATTTTATATCAAATGATGAGTTTGGTGTTTGTCTTGCTCTTACCCTTTTTCAATTCAAAGGTTCATTTTGTATCTACTTTTAGTTTCATCTGTCATTGTTCCTTCTTATGCTAAATTTCATTGATATTTGAGTTGAAGATACAAAGTTGTCAAAGCTGGATCAGGGAGGAACCATACGGTGGTTGTTACAGAGGATGGAAATTCTCTAGCATTTGGATGGAACAAACATGGACAGCTAGGCTCGGGTTCTGTGAGAAATGGTGTGTTTGTTTTTTAGAGTATTCTATTAAATTCTACAATTTATGCCAATGCATTTTTTATGACAGCTATATTTGCTTGTATGTTAGGCTTTGTTTGGATTATTTTAGTGAGATCCATGCTTTTATTAGGCTTTGTTTGGGTATTTTATGCTGAGTGGAATGAATGGTATATAATGGAATGACATGGAATGGAGTCAACTTTTAATTCCCTTCTTTTAAAAATTCTAATGGAACTGAATAGAATGGTAAGAATTATAAATTTATTGTTCCAATTTTGCCCTTCAATTTTTTTTTTTTTTTTTATATTATTCATATTTTATTTTTTTAAACGTATGAAAAAAATATTACTTATGGCAATAAATGAAAATCATTTATTTATTTTTCATAGAAATCATCATATTTTTCAAATACATATCCATGTTAGCAATTGGGAAGCAGTTGTGCATTGCAAGTGCAAATTTCAAAGTGCTTGAAAGTAAAAAGGTAAATAACCAATTTAAAAGTGAGGGAGGAGATGAAGGTGGTTCATTGCTGATTTACTTCCTTGCTTTGTCTTTGTGCAGAAATTGAGTCATCCCCAGTTCGCTGTCTTGTGTCTGAAGTAATATATACTACTTGTGGTGGTGACTTTACTGTGTGGTTATCTTCCACTGAAGGAGCTTCTATACTGTATGGGTTCTGGATGAAGATTGCATTAAGTTTTCTTGATTCTCAGTTTGCACACATGAGTACTCTTTTCTTGCTTGGGACACAGTGGTTGCTGAGTTACAATTCTTTCTTTTGTTCTGATTCCCAGGACTGCAGGGCTTCCACAGTATGGGCAGCTTGGGCATGGAACAGATAACGAGGTATGCTTGAGGAAGATGTTTTGTAGTCTTTGTCGTTCTGAGATGTGTGAGTGTCCTTATTTTATTTTAAACCCATGGGACGCAGGGAACTGTATTCAAGTGGTTGTGTATGATCTATTGTATTCAGATTTAGAAGCCAGTTGATCAGATGGCGTGTGCTTGGGGCCATTTGTTACCATTGAGCTTATAATGGTTGTCGGGGTCTAACATCATCATCTATTGATTACGCTGATTAATTTTGACTCGGTTTCCTTATTGCTGTGGAAGGCTTATGTTTTGACATAGTTTGTAGTACACATCTTTCCTCTGGCATCATTGCATCAATTCATAACATATGTTAGTTTTCCTTCAAATTATTATGCCAATAGTCTTTTAGGGAGAAACTTGAAAGTTTTCAGATAATATTATTGGATTCAGTATGCGAACGCACAGCAGACTGGATATCTATACATGCTATTGGTTGTCTGGATTTTCTGAATTTTAAGGCCTTGATTGCTTAGTCTTAGTAAATAGTCTTTTATAGTTGCTTTCACCCTTGTTAATGACGTGGTTTCCCCTATAGTTTTGTCCCTTACCACTAAGGAAATTCTGTTTTGTTACCCTATTGTTTCCCCATGTCATTTAATATTTGTTTATTTGCAATAGATTACAAATAATTATAGGCATGCTTAATACTCTTAATATTTGCGGATTAAGAAACATGGAAGAGGATTACAGAATGATGGACAAGGAAGATTGAAACTAATTAGTAAATGCAAAATAATTAATCAGGTTCTGTATTAGACTTTTGCCAGTTTTATTTGTCTTGGAAATCATGTCCCACTTATTCTATGCTTACCATATTTGAGTAAGAATGTGTAACCATCAACCCTCACCCCTACCCTCGGAAGTCAGGGAGTCTTGTGGGGTTAGCCCTTATCTCATTGAATTTCATGCACCTCCATGTGAACATAGATTATGAGCATCATTTAACAATCCAAGTAATATTTGGTCATTATTTTTCCTCAAGAGTGAGTTAATTTTAATACTGACAATTTATGGGTTATGATATAATATAAAGTTGTAATTCTCCAAAATTGACCTTGGTTTGCGTATGCTTTTATTTTTTAACTTCTGTTTAGTCTATCTACTTGAAAGTTAAAACCTTCTACTTTATTTTCATTCCCTCGTCATTCTGCTTATGCTAACATACATTTGTATGCACGGTGCAGCAAAGAACAGAAAGCTTTACATAATGTTGCATTGTTTGCAGTATAATTCCAAAGACAGCTCTGTGAAGTTGGTTTATGAAGCCCAGCCAAAACCTCGAGCAATTGCTACTTTTGCTGGGGAAACAATTGTCAAAGTGGCATGTGGAACAAATCACACAGGTGGTTGTTATTCTATGCTTGATCTCTGTTATCTGACCTTGTTTATTACTTATTGTTTTTGTTTTGGATATTCAGTGGCGGTGGATAAGAATGGCTTCGTTTACACGTCAGTAATCCTTTATTGTCCTAGTTCAATTTCTTACTTCCATGTGTGGAAAATAAGTTCTAAGTGTTGATTATCCTGTGTACAGGTGGGGTTTTGGTGGTTATGGAAGGTTGGTGCTTAATTTTCAGATTGGGCTGTCTATGTTTTGTGAACTCCCAAGAAACTGCAAATATGAGATAATTCTTATTCAACGTTGGTTTTTCGTATTTGGTCCCTACTCGTTTTCTGTTCAAGTTTTAAATTTATGAATTCTGTAGGCTGGGACATAGGGAGCAGAAGGACGAGTGGGCCCCACGTCGTGTTGATGTTTTCCAGAATAGAAATGTTTTGCCTCCTGATGCAATTATTTCAGCTGGTTCTGTGAATTCTGCATGTACTGCAGGTATGCCTCACACCAACACTCATATTCCCTGGCCCAGTTTTAGTAAAACAAAGTATTCACGGATATAATTAACCACTTTCATGGATGTTATCTCTGTTACTTGTTTACTTTCTGGTAGTGCACATCTTATGAGCTAGTGATATTGAAGCATGATGGTTTGTTATGTGAGTGTCCAACCCGTCCTCTTGAGGAATTTGATGCTCTCAATATCAAACTCAAAGATTTGTTTGTAGTTTGAGTACAGTTAGATGGTTTGTGAAAGTAGAATTGCAAAATTCACATTGCTTGTCCATTTTATGTATAGTTATGTCCAGAATAGAAATGTTTTGCCTCCTGATGCAATTATTTCAGCTGGTTCTTTGAATTCTGCATGTACTGCAGGTATGCCTCACACCAACACTCATATTCCCTGGCCCAGTTTTAGTAAAACAAAGTATTCACGGATATATTTAACCTCTTTCGTGGATGTTATCTCTGTTACTTGTTTACTTTCTGGTAGTGCACATCTTATGAGCTGATGATATTGAAGCATGATGGTTTGTTATGTGAGTGTCCAACCCATCCTCTTGAGGAATTTGATGCTCTCAATATCAAACTCAAAGATTTGTTTGTAGTTTGAGTACAGTTAGATGGTTTGTGAAAGTAGAATTGCAAAATTCACATTGCTTGTCCATTTTATGTATAGTTATGGTTGTATTGCATTCTTCATTATACAACTTATGTTCCCAATTTCATGCAGTAAATAAATGAAAGAAGGGAAAAATATTTCAAGGGGTACAGATGAAAATGCAGTTTTTTTCTGAAGTTGATAATTATTTTCATATTTTGTTGTTCATGATTTGTGGGTTTAAACAAGTCCAAGCTCTAGATTTTGGGGCCTGTTGCCAAACGTCCCTCCATTGTCTTATATATCTGGATCTGCAGTTAGTAATTTATTCCTCTACGGAAGGAAATCACTAAGTCTCATGTTATAAATCTGCCAATGGCTAAATCAATTTATGCTACTGAGTACTGATTATACTGATGAAGGATAAAATGTTTTCTGCACCTGTTTTTCAAACCCTTACTGTCCAATACAATACCTTTATCAGAATCTCTGAGCTAAGATACTGTAATTTGTCTGTGAGCAGAACGATTCCTATTTAAAATATTATTATTTGGTTTGTTACTCTCTACAGAATGGCTTTTGGTTTGAGTGTAAGTTTATTTTTCATTTAAGGTGGAGGGCAGTTGTATATGTGGGGCAAAATAAAGAATACTGGTGATGACTGGATGTATCCTAAGCCGCTAATGGATTTAAGGTTGTGCTTTATTCCATGGTTTGAATAATATTTCTTGGTATATAAATTTATTCTGGATGATTTGTTTTCCCCCCTCTTTTTTTACTTCTTGATTTTGATCAAAGTATTCACTATTTACTTTGGTAAATAGTGGTTGGAATATACGATGCATGGATTCAGGCCACATGCACCATTTTGTCGGGGCTGATTCCTCGTGCATAAGTTGGGGCCATGCTCAGCATGGAGAGCTGGGATATGGACCTACTGGACAGAAGTATGTCTATGCAAATTTTTTTTGGAAATCTCATTATTTTTTCTTGTTTTTCTTATTTTCTAATCCTGTTTGTACTTTCCCTTTAGGTCTTCAGCTGTACCCAAAAAGGTGGATATACTTGAGGGTATGCATGTGATGAGGTAGGTTGTAAGCAATGGTTCACACTCCTTTTTATCTTTCTCGCCTCTTTTTTGGACGTTGCATGCTCTATTTTTCTTTGGAAGTGGTTTTCTTCAGTCTCAATTTGTTTTTTGTAGCCAATAGGCTGATATCACTAAGAAGATAAAATTTGATGCAAGAAATTTAATAATAAAACAAAAGTTGCCTATAAATGATGTCATACCATTTTTAATAAAATACGACTCTTATCTAAATGAAAAAGCAAAATGAGAAATGAGAAATGGTCTAAATGTTTTTTCTTATTTTCAAACAGTGTTGCCTGTGGTATGGGTCATTCCATGGTTATAGTTGATAGAACAAATGTTGCTGATCGACTTGACCAGGTAGGTCTTAAATCTTGCCTACTATCTTATAAGTTCATTAGTTCATGACTACTGTCCTGAGTTCTCAGTTAAACAATGTCTGTTATAATGTTTTAGGCTATATAATGAAGCTGCTAATTTCCGAAAACTGAGATTACAATGAGTGGTGCCATAAGCTACTTATGTGTTGATTGTGACAGAAACCAGTAGATTCTTTTTTAATAGGAGTTTTGGTTGTTCTTCCTCTCTTCAATTCCTATATCTATCTCTTGAACTTTCTGAATAGATTAGAGAAGCTATGAATGTTATCAAGTTGTGTACATTGGTTGTTCTATGTAGTATGTAGTTAAATATTTGATTAGTTATTTTTTGCATTCTATTTATAGTTGTTATCTTTTTTCACCACTCATTCTATTTTTATGTATCATATGTACTCTACATTGCTTGTCTCATGTAGTTAAGCTCAAGTTTTGCATTGTATTTTATGATATCAAGTGTACAATGCCTAACTTATCTTTTTTCTGCAGCTTGATATATATGACGGCAAAGCTTTTGGTGAAGGTATGCTGCTTATTATAATTCAGAATTAGTTTTAGGGGTACACTGTACATACAGTCCATCCGAAACTCATCTGGTAATAAAAGCTTTGTGGTCTCAGATGCAGTAGAATGTAACATTTGCTGGCTGAAGAATTTTCCTGATCTATCTTTGGTTGGCTGTTTAGAAGGCTTTAACAAACTGCTACTGATTTCAATGTGCTCTTGCTGCAGGTAATGAGCCCGTAAACAAAACGTCAGTGCCCAAGCAGGCTGCAAAAAAGGGTGCAAAAGGAGCTGACAATTCTAAGAAGAGGAAAAAAGCAAAAGATTCATCTGACTCAGAAGAGGAAGAGGAAGAGGATGCTGAAGAAAGTGACAACAGTGAGGATGAAGTTAATGGTGAGGCTGAAGTAAAAAGGGCACGTGGTGGAAATAGTTCTGGTAAAGGCCGAGGTAAGGCATCCAAAAAGTCAGGTGGGGAGGGAAAAGGTTCCAGCCGAGGGCGTGGTCGCACAACAGCAAATGACAGCAATTCTAAATCCCCTCCGGTGAAAACCGGCAAGAGAGGAAGACCTCGTAAGTCATAACTTGGTTTTTTTGTTGGAAATTTTGTTCTCTATACATAGAGAATTGTAGCATGTAATTCATTGGCCGGTGGTTGTACCTAGTATTTCAGTGTTATTAAAATCTGGTCCTGCTAACTATTTAATGCAAATTTTCGGAAAACATGTTAAATTTGCAGACCGTTTTGGGATGCAGAGGCAAAAAGTGCCCTCTTGTTTTAAATTTTTTGTGAAGGGGAATACCTTTTGTTGCTTCGGTTTCCATCAGCCTTTGGTTTTCTATTAGACCTTAATCTGCTGGTCTGGTGACTTGGAGATGTTTGTCGATGAAACTTGAGGCTGTTTAAGTTGTTTTAATCCATTTATGCTGTATTATATTCTTATTTATAGTCATATCATTTGCCTCTAATTTATATTTTTATTTCTTTAATTGTTGAGTAAAGTACCTTTTTGGTCTTCAATAAAAATTATGGGACCTATTTTAATTTCTTAGAAAAAAAAAATCGACTTGTGATCTCTCTGATATTCAAAAGACTAGGTTAGTCGAAATCGTGATCTTTTTAAAATTGATAGAAGATCCATATTAGTCCCTCAAAAGGACTAACATGAGTTTATTTTGAATTTTAGAGGGGTCACAAATCAAAAAAAAAAAATTATGAAATTAAATTGAGTTCCGTAATATTTACATTTGTTGGGAACTCAAAAGATACTTTACTTTTAATTGTTTAATTATGAAGTGCGATGTAAGTAATTAGAAAAATGTTGGGGAGCTTGGACTCCCTCATCCCAGTTGCTAGAGGGGGACAATTGGAGACGGGAGAGAATGTGGGTCTGGTTCCTTAGCAGAGCTCAGATAATTATAAGTTGCTTGAAAAGTGATGATCAAAAGGTATAAATATGTTGATTTTTATGGTTAATTTGGAAAAGAAAAACATACTTTTGTGAAAAAACGTAGTCCGCTGTTAGATAAGTTATGTAATATTTGGATTACATTCATTTTTTTACTGATGTGATGGCAAAAGCGCAAAGCAATAATCGACGAGTTCTTCCCTTTTTTAAGAGGTTAAGTGGTGCATGTAAAAGAATTAATCAAAAAATTAAGAGCGCTATAATTTGAAAAAATTGCTAATAAAATTTGGGGAAAGAATTTATTATTTTAAATAATATTAAGTTATATCATTTAAAGAAAAATAATATTTTTTATTTAAAATTTAAATTAAAAAAAATCTCTCACTCTTTTCATAATTTTCATTCTTTGTGTCTATTTCTTTTTTAAAATGATATAACTTATGTTCTTCAGAAGAATAAATATCAAACCCAATTACTTTTTTTGTTTTCAGGAAACAAATAAGACAATGTTAATTAGTGGAGCAGTGTCTACCAAAACATAACTTATAATAATATGCATTTATTAGACAATAAAGTACAAAATCAATAAGAATTTGTTATAAACAAAATAAATATAAATGGAAATTTGACTTTTCTGAAGAAGCTTGACCTCAAATGATTTTACTTAACTACCCACTAACATAACATAAGCTCCACCAATAACATAACAAGAAAAATAACTATCCATTACTGAAATAACCCAATAATTTAGAAAATAATAAAATAACATAATCCCTCCCCCTAAAATTATTCTTGTCCTCAAGAGTAAGTTAAATATCAAGTAATTGAATCATCTTCAATATCCGCTTCTCCTTCACTTTCGTCCATCATCGCTTCGCTGTAGCTCTCTTTTGTCACTGCTTGGATGGTGAACAATTGTTTGCAGCGATAGCTTGGAGTGAATGCGTCATTATAGTGAGACAACCCTTTTTGTCACCGCTTAGACATCTCTTCGAAGGTCAAACATCGAACAAGAGTCGAACCGGTGGAGGAGGCGCCATTGTCGGAAGATGCAACACCGTTGGTGGGAGTGGATAAAGATGAACCCTTTTACTAGTTGTTATGGTCTGTCGCACATTCTGAGCAGGAAATATGATCTTCTGATTGCGGGCCTCATATAGTTTTGCCAGCCCAATTGCAGATGAGAGGGTGTTGGGCCTGTTAGCCACCAAGACGTCCAACCGGTTAAAAAATTGGGTGAACGTCTCCTTGAATTGCTCCGACAAAGATTGAACTGCGTCTTCCAATTTCTGGTTGCATTTGTCCATGCCTGAGTTATTATACCAATTGTTACGAATAAAATAAATAAAAATGAGAATCTGGCTTTACTGATGAAGTCTGACCTTAAATGGCTTTACTGAGAAGCCTGACCTCTTGAACAAGTGCCTTTTGGGATAACTTTTATAATCTGATATGATAATTTTTAGAGTAAATACCCTTTTTGGTCCTCAGCAAATTTCAAGATACCCCTTTTAATCCCTAGCAAATAAAAAGGTCCACTGTGGTCCCTAAAAAATTTAAAATAGACCCATTTTAGTCCTTTTAGGGACTAATATGAGTCTTTTTTGAATTTGTGAGGGATCACGATTTCAACTAAATGGGTCCATTTTGAATTTCTTAGGGACCACGATGGGCCTTTTTATTTGCTAGGAACTAAAACGGGCATCGTAAAATTTGCTGAGGACTAAAAATGATATTTACTCTAATTTTTATTCCAATATTTCAAGGTTTAAATAGATAATATGAGTCAATCATAAAAATAACTACCCACTAACATCAAATAAACTCCACTAATAACATCCATGTGAAGCCTGACCTCTTAACAAGTGTCTTTTGGGATAACTTTTATAATCTGATAATTTTTATTCCACACTGCATGGGTAGCGTCTTCACATGGATGGATAAAACTTAATTTTGATGGTGCCACACAACGTGCAGCTTGTGGAGGTTTATTTCGAGACCATTCGAGTACTTGGAAAGGAGGATATACTTACACTTTTGTTTATTGTAATTCTCTGGAAGCTGAATTACAATGTATTTTAAAAGGATTGGAGATAGCATGGCTCCTAGGCTTTCGACGTTTAATAGTTAAAGGAGATTCCATTATGGCTCTTTATGTTCTTCATCAATCTACGACTGATGTTCATGAATCTCAAACAAGAAGACGGATCAAAGAACTTATGTCATTGGATTGAAAAATTACATGTAATCATCTCAATAGAGTAAATAACCGATGTGCTTATTGGTTGGCAAAAGATAGTCTCAGTAATATGTTAGGTTTATGTATTTTAAATAATGCTCCTGCGGGTATCAGAATTTTCATTTCTAGAACTGACAATGATATAGTTCTTATTATGTAATTTGTTCTTGGGCTTTATGCCCTCATTAAATACACAAAAATATAACTATCCACTACTTAAATAACTCAATAATTCAAAAAATAATAAAATAACATAAATAAAATCGTAACAAAATCATATCCATATAACATAATATCATATGAGATAAACTTGAGGGATATAAAAGTTTGTGGAGCATTATTAAGACATAATTAGCTCCTAAACGTATCCCAGAGTAAAAGGCAGTTGAACATTTGACGTTAAAAAAACCATCTACTCCTATCTACGTTTATCAATTATCCTTCAAAATCATTAATCTTTCGGAATCACCTCCCGGTAGCTATGTATTGAAACAATGGTAAACAAACTCATAAAAGAAACACTCCGATTAAGTTGCCTATTAGCATTTGGTTTCCATAAAGCAAATCTTAAATTTGAGGAAAATTGGTTACATATGAAATGAGAGAAACCTTATGATTGATCTACGACTTTATTGAAGAAACTAGTTTCCAATGGATGATTTTAGTCATTCAGTTTGCCATTTATTCAAATACTCCCACTTGGAACCGTCCCAGCTGTGATAGAAACCGTCCTCTTGCACCGACCAATAAATGGTGTCATGGCCTTCGTCTTTCTTGGAGTCATACGCGTTCCAATTAGTGAACCATCGCGACCACTCAGCATAGCATTGCAAATCTTGATCCACCCTCACAGTTCGATTGTAGTGTTGTCCCAATTTCACATTAACCAAATTCTCATACTCGCAATTGCAAGCAATAATCAAATCCTCGTCGTCGGTGTTGGGCAAGTCACTTCGTATGTCAACCACAGCCTCAGTACGTGACTTAGAAAGCGTTGATGTGTTAGGCCACGGCTCGTCGGTGGTTCTAGGCAAGTCATTTGGTATGTCAAACATATTGTATGGCCTAGCAAGAGTTGATGTGCATATGAAACACAACGAGAGTAAGATTAGAAATAGGGTGACGCACCCCTTAGAAAAAGCCATTGTTTTGTGTTGATGGTTGGTGATTGAAGTTGATCGATCTTATATAGAGTGGGAACTAGGAAGAATGAGCGTTAAAATGGTTCGAATGCTCATTGCCAACTAATCAAGAGAGACAAAATGGGAAATCTTACATGATTCCTTCCTTGATTGACGAGAAACAATATTGAAACATTTTTATTAGCGAGACAAAATAATATCATAAAGCCCAATTTGCTGAAAAGGATACATCCACAAGAAATCAAAATTATATGCAAATCAAAAATTAAATGACAAATATAAATATCCATTTGATGAGTCAAGCCCATATTATAAGCCCAATTTTCTAACTCGACTAACTCATTAATTAGGATACATCAATTTGTTCGTTGGTCAAACTTTGTGTTTCAATAAGACGGAAACTATATTTCAAACCGAAATTAATTTTCAAATGGAAATTAAGTGAGAAAAAAAATTAATTTCAAACGAAAATTAATTGAGAAATGAAAGCTAAATGAAAAACGGAAATTATATGCAAATCAAAAATTAAAAGAAAAATAAAAATATCCATCTCATGAGTCAAGCTCATATCATAAGCCCAATTTGCTGGCTCGACTGACCCATTAAGTAGGAAACATCAATCTGATCGTTTTTCAAACGAAAATTATATTTCAAACAAATTAATAATTGAAAACGAAAAATCAATTAATGAGAAACAAAAATTATATGCAAATTGAAAATTAAATGAAAAATAGAAACATTCATCTGATGAGTCAAGCCCGTATCATAAGTCCAATTTGCTGACTCGGTTGCCTCATTAAATAGAATACATCAATTGTTTGTTGCCAAACTTTGTGTTTCGATAAAACGAAAATTAATTTTCAAATGGAAACTAAGTGAGAAACAGAAATTATATTTCAAACGAAAATTAATTGAGAAACGAAAACTAAATGAAAAATAGAAATTATAAGCAAATCAAAGATTAAATGAAAAATAAAAATATCCATCTGAAGAGTCAAGCCCATATCATAAGCCCAATTTGCTCGCTCGCCTGACCTATTAAATAAGAAATATTAATCTGATCAATGGACAAACTTTGTGTTTCGATAGAACGGAAACTATATTTAACACAAATTTTCAAACGAAAATTATATTTCAAACAAAAAATAAATTAATCA